AAATTTAGGAAGCTGTAGCTGGGAACAGAGATAGAGAAACCCGAGAGAGGGCAGGAGGGAGCATGATGGTGGGAGCTAGGAATATTTGGATGCAGAATGAGGGCTGCTTCCAGACAGGTTTTTCTTGTATATTCTGCTATGTTCCATCAATACCAGTGAGCATTTCATAGCTGCCATAATGGGGGAAAGGAAGGTCAAATTTGCTGGGTGGCCACTTAGAAAACAAGTTGTAAGCCATGATTTAAAATAAAATCAATTTATTGAATGCTAGCAGTTTATTCATTTAAGCATGATTGCTCTTTGCTTTTTGTGAAATGTAAAAAAAAAAAAAGTTTGTTATGGATTGTTTTGAAGTTTCTAAGAAAGAACGCATGTTGCTAAAATGGTGGTGACCAGAAAGGGTTCTTGCCCTCTGTTTTCTAAATTAGAGTTCTAGTGCTTTGGCACTCTTTCATTTTAAGCCATAGGTGGACAACATGTGGCCCCAACCTCATTTTTGGTAGCCTCCCAATATCTCCCCCAGTTGCCGCAGTCTTCTATCCTACTTCTGTTCCTTCTTACATTTCCTGGCTTTTTATAGTGTTTCTCCCCTTTTCTATATAGGTCTAAAGCAATTAGAAAGAACAGTATTTTATTTGCTAAAACTAAATGTCATTACTTACTCATTTTTTGCTTGGTTGTTTGACTTGGGAAGGAACTCACTGCCCCCCCCATTGTCTAAAAACTTGTTGGTAGGCTGTTGCCATGTGTATATCTAGCAAAATGAGAAAGCAATTACTTTCACTTGCTTTCCAAAAAACCCCAAAAACTGTACTGGTCTGTTTTACTATTGAAAAAATAAACATCACCTCTGTATACTTTCTTGTGAGCAACTCCAGCAAACCCAGTGGAGCTTACCTGCATAGGTTTGGGAATTCTAATTGAGATAGCCATGATGAAAATTGAAGCAGGGTGGTCTTTGTTCTGGATTAGTCAGAAAGTTGTCTTAGCACTAGAATGGCGTTATAAAATGGTACCTGCTACAAAGGTTATAGTGAATGTGTGCTGAACTGTGATAGGTTCACCATCTGATAATCAGATACTGCCTCAAAAACAGGCAGAAGAGGAGTGGCAAGAGCATCTACACTAGTAGATATTTTGCCTTCTGCTTTCAAAAGTATCTGACCTTCTGCAGTAAGAAAAAAAAAGACAGAAGCAGCACTAGGGAAAACATGAGAGAATTCCAGAATGTGCGTGAACAACGCATGTCAATTTGACACTAAATGCTCAATGAGGAAGCAACCTGGTGCTCACTTCTGGCCTCTGGGTTGTTTCTTCTTTGGTGTCCTGTTCAGGTCATGAAGAAGAGTCCATGGGGCCAGTGGGGGGGGGGGAGGTTGCAAAGCAGCACCAAGGAGAGCTCCTAGTGAGCAACATGTTCCAACAGTGTCTGAGACTGTAATGAATCCTTTCATGCCTTGGCAGTTGGGGAACCCCATGCTGGGTTCCACCCCAGCCTCGAAGAGTGCGTGGCCTTAAAGGGTCAGCTCTTGGCCTGGAAGCTTGCATTTTGCTGCCCCTATGGGAGATCATGCCAGACTTGCTGCCTGTGTTTCCCCACAAACTGTGTATAGTATGAGGCCCCTGGGAGGTAAGTATGCTGGTCCTAGGCAGTGATGCAGTCTCTGGTCCAAGCTCAGGAGTTCCCAGTTAAGGGATCTCTGTCTTCTTGGTCCCAGAATCTCTGGAATCTTATGCTAGGATATCCCTGGTTCAGTGGTGGTGGTTGGTCCCAGCGCTGCCTTGGTAACACTATTGGTTCCTCAGCCTTTGAGGCTGTCATGATACCACACTAGCAATCACAGTTGCCCACCTGGGAGAAAAGCTGGGAGCAGAGGCTGCAGACAGAAAAATCCCCTTTGACACATTAAACCTGGGGCCCTTAATGTAGTGTCTGTGAGTGCCACAGTACCCTCAGACACCTCTCTTGGAACCTGCCACAGCTTTCTGCTCTTCTTGTTTTTTAATTGAGTGGTTTTTTAATATTTACTTTGGGAGATTTGGTGAGAGGGTGCATGGTTGCTGTTTGTTGGCTAGATGTTGCCTGTTTTGGTGGGGTATAGGTGTTTTGTCTGTGGTTTTTTTTGCAGGGGGTGTTTCTAAGCATTGCCAGTTTCTATTCTGTGAAGTGGGTATTTTGTGTTGCCCATTTTGATTTCTTAGATTTACAAATACATCTCCGACTTCCCAAAATGTTGGGGAGCCTGCATTAAACAAACAGGTGTCATTGGGGCCTATGGAATCCTCTTGGCTGGTTCCACTGGGTCTTGCTAAAAAACTGGGGTGTTTATAGGATTGCTACCTCTCCTGGCAGATGAGTTGTCATTGCTCACTTGCATATATGAATAGAGCTAAATGTGTGCAAATTAAAATCCCAAGGCTTCTCATTAATGCCTGTCTAAGCCAAAACAACATACTGGATAGTTAGGAAACTGGTTAGCCTGATTTACTAGGCCAGATAGCAATCAGCTTATGGGCTGCTTCTATTGTCCTAAATAAAAGCCACCAACTCCTCATAAACACACTTAATCACAAATCTTATCTATCTGATGTGTACTTGCATACTTCATAAAACACACATACTTAATCCTTCGTGCATAGGATATTTTGTCACGGGGTGTGCGTGTGTTCATGTGTGTTACTGCTTGTAATATGAAACCTTCCCTGGCAGCAGACTTTTGAGCAGAGTTTGTCTTCTCTCATTGATAAACTCAGTTCTGGAAATTCCCCTCTGCACAGCGAAACAATGCTGGGCTATGGGGATTGCAGCCTGCAGCTTGTGCTGTGGGAGCTTGCGTGACTCCAGCGCATCTCAGAGAGTATAAACAAAGCCAAAGCCAGAAACGTGCTCTAATTATAGCTGGCAAGCTTTGCAATGGTGAGAGACTCTATGGTGCCTAAGAGTTCCCATCCTCACCTCCCCATTCAAATTGCTCATAACTGGAGGGTTTGAATGGATCTCCAAGGTCAGCTAGTACAACTCCTGGCCCCAAAGTTTGGCCTCTGGCAGCAGCCTGAGGTCCAAGCAATAGTATGACACCAGAGCACAGGAGACTAAAGGACAACTACCTTAACACTGCACCCCTGTGCACTCTTTTAGCTTAGGAGTGAGGTCCATTGTGTACAGGGGAAATAATTGCTAATAAGTAAGGTAATAAGTAAGCATAGGCCTAGTCTGCCTGTTTATTTAATATATATTCTACCTTTCCCCCAAGTTGTTATAAAATACGAAGTGGTCAAAAACAATAGTTAAAAATACAACAAAACACATTTAGAACCAGCTTTAAAATACGGATTGCCCAGATAGCAGTCCAGTGGTCAACGTACTCTGCACCTAGTTTTCAAAGGTTGGTTTAAACAGGAAGCTCTTTGCCTTGTCCATTGCTGCAGTGGGCCTTAGTAGGATCTTCTCACCCTGGCATGGTGGTCTCTAGGGATTTCCAGGCTCAAAGCCCAGAATGTTGGGTGGAACTCCATTCTGGAAAATGTAAGGCAGCAACTACCATGGCTGCCAAAGAGGTCTTAGCTGCAAGGTCTTGCATTTTGCCCCCTTGAATCCTGGCAGAGGAGAGGAAAGCAGTAACTGCTCCTGTCTATCTGGGTCAGGTGGTCAGTGAAGGACCTCTTGTAGCAGAGGGAAGAGGATTGTGTTGTGGAGACTGAGGCTCAGTACACCCCAGAGCATTAACGCCCATGGGGTAGTCATAACTCAGGTCTATTGACCAGTAACCTCAGCATAGTAGGAATTGTGCATCGTTCAACAGAGACTGAAGCGGGTGACAAGAGCAAGAAATTGCTACAGATTTGGACATTGAAAGTGTGGAGCTACAGCTTGTGTTCAGATCTGACTCACCTGTACCCCCATGTTCAGATAAGCATGTCAGGAGGAATAAGGCAAGATCCTGTTTTCCCTGTATCTCCTTCTCCCATGCTGCCTAGTACAGACTCTGTCTATAAAGTCACCAGCCTGGCCCCTGGCAGAACAAATTTTAATAGCTCACTTGATCACACAAGTGAAGTGGGCTTGGGGGTTGGGGGAATAAATTTATTCCAGTTTGCAAACTCATTCTTCCTTAATCATCTGGAGGTGAACTCTACTCACCTATTTCACAAGTGTGGCCTAATGTGATGTGAAGCAAGAGTTGTGGTACGGGAGCCAAAGAACACTCCTCTCCCAATGTGCACATATAGAGGTCTAGGAGCTAATCACCCATGGAGGCGACAGGGACTGTTTGACAAGATAGCATTCACAGGCCTTAGGCCATCAGACAAGGGGATGAACAATCAGGCAGTGCTTAAGCTTTGAAGCTGAGCAGCTGTCTGAAATAAAAGGACACCAGTCCCTTATCTGTCGTCCTGAGGGGCTGGGATCAGAACTGCCGCCTCATCTTTATCAAGGAACATAGTTTGTTGTTTTCCTATGGGCCAAAAGACAGTGTGATATGGAAGATCTATGATCAGGTCTCCAAATGCCTTTTTCTTGGTTAAAAGCAGCTGCTGGGGAGTGGGGCTGGATAAAGGGTAGGCGCTGAAGAGGGGCTGGTTAACCCTTCACCTATCTCCAAAATCTCTTGCCTGAAACCTCTGTTACTTGAGGGGATAGGATTGCCAAAGGTGTAAAGTGCTGTGATTTTTGCTGTGACTTGAAAAGGCCATGCCTGTTGGAATGCCTGCTATGTGTGTCTGACAGCAGGGGGCCACAACAAGGACTGGGGAATCTATCACATTCCAGGTGATGTTAGACTCCAACTCCCATCAACCCCAGCCAGTGTGGGATGAAGGGAGATGTAGCCAAGCAAAATCTGAAGGGCCATCCCTTTCAGGTTTCGCCATCCCTGGAATAAGCTCATGGGCAAGCCATTAAGCCTTCACACAACTGTACTGTGCAAGTGCAACGGAGGATCTCATGTGGGTGGTGAGCATTGCAATGGTGACTAAGTGAAATGTGCTCTTTCTTGCAGGTTTCCGGGAGAGTGCTTTTGCCTATGCCATTGCAGCCGCAGGGGTGGTACATGCTGTCTCCAATGCATGCTCCCTGGGCAAGCTGCAGGCATGTGGCTGTGACCAGAAGCGCCGTGGAGATGAGGAAGCTTTCCGCCTCAAGCTGCACCGTCTCCAGCTGGAGGCCATGAACCGAGGCAAGGGGATGATGCATGGAGTGCACTTGGAACACATGCCAGCTGAGGCCCCAGGCCTGCAAGACTCCTGGGAGTGGGGGGGCTGCAGCCCCGATGTGGACTATGGGGAGAAATTTTCCAAGGACTTCTTAGATTCCCGGGAGACCTACCGAGACATCCACTCTCGCATGAGACTGCACAACAACCGTGTTGGCCGGCAGGTGAGCTGAAAGCGCAGCGATGGGTTGGGTGGGGAGTTGGAGTCAAGGCTTGGGAAAAGGTTTCCGGGAGGGAGTCAATAACCCAGACAGTTCCTGATCTATAAAAATAAAAGAGGCTGATCATTCCAGCTCAGACACTCATCTACCTGGTTGGTCCAAGATGGTTTGTGCAGGGCTGGCGTAACTGAGAAATGCTGTCTGCATTTAATGTGATGGCAACTTCTGATTCAATCAGATGCAGGCTTTAGTCAGGGCTTATCCACACTTACCCTTTGCCCTGCTCTTTCCAGGCACAAGCCTGTGCTTAAAAGCTCTGTGTCTGAGCATTTGTTTCCTTTTTCTTTTTTTGCCCTGGAGCTTTCCCCTCACCCACAGTTTAGCATTCAATGGGAACAAACATCAGTTTGGGTTTGGGGCATATTGCTATTTGCTCTGATTGAGCTTTAAAGAGCAGGGTTTCATGGGGAAAGCTCCAGAAGGGTGGGGAGAAAGGGCGCTTGGACATGAAGATTTAAAGCATGGACCATGCCTGGAAAGAGCGGAGGAAAGGTAAGTGTGGATAAGCCCTCCCATAGTGTACCGTGCTTGCATTCTGCCAGTGCTTGATCCCTGCCTGGAGCAATCAGAGAACCAAGAGCATCAATTGTGGTTTGTTTACCAGCAGAAATGATAGCATGGTAGGGCCATCCTCATCTCTGCTTCCCTGATGCATAGCTTCTCATACTTGCATTTTAGATGAAGCAGAAATGTGGAATGTGCAAGAAAATTATGGTAATTCAAGAGATTTATTGTTCTGTTTAACTACTTAATCCATAAGAAAAGGCCCCATTGCTCTGCATACTCAAGTCTGATTCCAAGCTCACTGGAAAGCAAATAGAACACCCATGATTAGAAGCAGTTTACTTCTAGTCACTGAATGCTTAGAGCAAACAGGGCATGGACTGTATTCATCTATTTGTTGACTATTTATCCCACCATGACTAGAATGACTATTATGTTATCCTTTGCTTATGAGACTGACATGGCATTTGGCTGGACACGATGTGCATGAGAATGCTAAAAGAGATGAACCATCTGTTTTCTTACACTGCTCGGTGGATTTCTGCTTTCCATAAGAAGTGAGCATAGATCTGGCTCCAGAATTGCAGCAGCAACCTGCCCAACATAGGGATGGTTTTCATACCTTGATACCCTCATAAGTGGCACAAGGGAGCAAATTCTTAAAGTAAATAGAGAAGGCCATGTTTTCACTTTTGCCATAAGAAGAGCCTGCTGGACCAGGCCAATGGCCCTTCTGGTCTAGCATCCTGTTCTCTCAGTGGGTCACCAGATGCATGTGGGAAACCTGCAAGCAGGACCTGAGGACAAGAATACTCCATTCCTGAAGTTTCCAGCAACTGGTATTCAGAAGCATGTGGCCTCTAACACTGGAGGCAAAGCATAGCCTCCATCATGGCTAGAAGCCCTGAATTTGTCTAAAATTTACTAGCTAAAATGTATGCATTCCTGACATGCACAAACTGTACAATGACCAGTTCCAGCACTATATTTTCCTGGTGTAAACTGCCTTGTGAAATGGAGCCTGTAAAGTGGCAGCTGGTGTTGCCACAGTCAGCCCTTTGTAACATGCTTTTAAAATCCTGTCCTTGTGAACACACAAACACCGTCTCCTTGCACAAAAGTAGCTCATGATGATTAAAGCTGTTGATCTGCTTAATGATCTGCATGCACATCTCTGAAATTGCTCTGTATTCAGAATATTTGTTGTTCACTGAGCAACCATCGAGCTGCAGGTAGTAGAGATACTATCTGTACATGCATCTGGCAAAGTAGATTCTGGCCCATCAAAACTTACGCTACAATATATTTTAGTTTTTAAGGTGTCAAAGAATCTTTTTTTCCTGCATGGCACATACGGAGATGTAGATCAGCCAGTGCAGTAACCCCCATCTTGGAGAAGAGCATTTGTGAGGTTTTGAGAAAAGCTTGATTCAGTCAAGCACATCATTCTGCTGATTTAGGTTTGAATGCTAAAATACTGAACAATTTGAGTGGGTGGCCACCCATGATCTGAGCTAGGTTCAAGCCTCTTTATTCCCCCACAACTAATAGTTCTACAGGAAAATCCAGTGAGAGTTAATATTACTAATTCATTACCTGCAACTAGAAAGTGGTTTTATAATAACAAAAGATGGATGAAGAAGTTAATTGCTAAGGGAAGAAAATGGCAATGAACATTTTCAGGGGAAGTAAGCCTAGCAAAAATTGTGCAGTCATCTCTAAGTTGTACAGCTGGGGAGGGCCAACCTTTTTCTATTGATGGACACATTTGAGGGTCACATTCCCGTGGGAGTAATCTGTCAGACAACAGTAGAGTCAGAAGTGGGTACAGCTACTCCCTTTCTGTCTTTTTGCCACCCACTTCTCCCCCCCCCCCTTGTCCTTTTCCACCTGTTTTTCCCATTTGCCACTCACACGAAGTTGGGCCAAGAGTTGCAGATTCCTCACCAGCATTGTATAGGTACACCTATCTGATCTGATGCACCCATTTCTAATAACATGCAAACAGAAAAAAGAGGGATGCCTGCATGGACTTGCCCACTCTCTTGAAGAGAATGGGGAAGCCCCTTAGAGTCAGGGTGCTTCCAGGTGATAGGTTTATTGAACATTCATTCTGATTTGTTTTCAGGGAGGTTAGATGACATTGCATCAAAGCAAGTGTTATCCCACACTTGCTTTGATGCAGTGTCACCTCATCTCCCACACTTTCCAGTGCATTATCCCATCACTTCCCTTATTTCCAAAAGTCTTATCTTTTGGCAGGTGGGTTTGTTAGTTGACTTTCCAATCAACTATAATTGCACAACCTGAATTTGATGGTATATGAATCCTACCTGAATCTCATCTGAAAATGGCAACAGTCTGGAAGTGTTAGGCAAGCATTTGGATGGATTAATTTATGCAGCAAGATGATTGATCGGAGGACCTATTAAGGCAGGCATGTCCAAAGTCCATTTCAGGGGCCCAATCCGGCCCCTGTGGCAGTTTATTTCCTGGGGTAAAATCCTAAAAAAAAGTCAACAACCTTGGTCGGCCCTTTGGTCGGCCCTCACGGCCCTTCACTTCATCAAATCTGGCCCTCTTTGAAAAAAGTTTGGACACCACTGTACTTAAGGCTACTATCATTTGTCTATCATAGACAAAGTTCTTCAGCAAAAATAGCTTTTGGCTGCACTTGATACCTGTGAACAGAGCTGTGTGTAATCTGTGACCACTCTGTGCAAGTGTAGAAGTAAGTATTGGAGACACCTTAATTTCATTTTAACTTCAGTTGTTTAGGTCAAAATTCAAAACCAGCACTTTGAATTGTTCCTGGAAAGCAGCAGGAAGCCAGTGCAGGTGTTCAAGCACTAGTATAATGTGTTCCATATTTTAGAGAGAACGATTACTTAACAATGCATTTTTTTGTAATTTAAGAGAAATAGTGTTCTAATTATAGCTTAGTGCACCAGACATCCTCAAGGGTAGTATATGCAAGTGAAAACTGAGCAGTGCTTAACATTGCAAATTAAATAATATAGATGCATGACTGCAGACAAAAAAGCTTGTTACCTTAAAATGACTTCTGCCAGCACATCCACTTCCTCTATTACCTCTCAGTCTGCATCCTAAAAAGAAATGTTCCTAAAAATTGCATTGTTGAACTCAGAAGACAATCTGCAGTAATTTAGGATTGTTGCGCATCATAACAGCCTTCAGTCTTTTGCTCATCAGTTTATTTTATGATATATGTTTAAAGTACCAATTACGTGAAGTGGCCACAATGTATGTATGGTAAATTGAACTCTATTTTGGATTCACCATTCCTAACTATAAAGTCAGCCCCAGTGAACATCAGTACTTGAGATACATCACATTAGGATAGAAGGAAACCCATGAACTGTGTCATGTTACTTATAAGTAATCTCAAAATAAGGTATACAAAAGAGATATCCAGTCATATAGGGCCAACTTCTATTTATATGAGTTCATCAATTACAAGTACTGAAGGCTGGCACATCCAGATCCTGAAAGTGCTCCAGTGCCTTACAATAATTTTCTAGAAGGGGTCATGGGTGGCTTTTCTGCCTCTGCATGACTTTGATGTGAAAAGCCATACATGGTGAAGCTTTGCCTTCTGTGTAAATCGTAAAAGGTGCAGGAGTCCTCTCACACAATAAGCAGGTATGCATTGAGCTGGGGAGTTGGTCCAATAGGACTGTTTTAAGAATCCATTGGAAAAGCAAGTGACTGTCCCACTGATATATACCACTGAGAACTAACTCACGTATGTGTTAAGCAAGACCACTTCATGCCAGCACTGCCAAGCAGCGGCGTAGCGTGGGTTGTCAGCACCCGGGGCAAGGCATGTAATTTGCGCCCCCTAACCTGGGGCAAGGCAAGTAATATGCGCCCCCTAACCTGTGGATTTGCGCCCCCTAACCCTACAAATCTATGCCTATGAATGATGGTCCCTCTCTCTCTCTCTTTCTCATATTCCAATTGATTCCCATTTCCGCCGATCGATCCCCGAAGCTCTCACCCAGCGAAATTCGTGCGTAATTACGCTTCGCCATCCCTAATCCTGCCGCTTCCACCGGGAAATCATGACGGTGCGTTTCTCCCCTCCAAACTTTCCCCGGCTCTTTGCCGGCCGGCGCAGCCCTTTTGGCTATGAGCTCCCCTCCTTCTCTGCCCGCTTCCGACCCCACCTCCCCGTCCAGCCTCCCTACCTCCTGAAAAAAGGCGCCGGCGCCGAGCAGGACACCCCCGCGGCCATCGGAGAGAGGCGGGGCCGAGGGAGGCAAGCCAATGGGCGAGGCGGGGGTAGGTGGCCACGGGGGCGGGCGCTGCCGCAGTCCTCGTGTGGGCAAGGTAGGAGCAGGCGGAGGCTGGCCGGCCGCTCTGACAATAGGGGCGGGCCGAGGGCATGACGGGGCTGGGCCCTCTGGACTCGCGCC